TCTTCAGAACCTTTCTAAAGAAGGGTCTAGGCCCGAAACGTCAGCCTTCCTCTCCTCTGATGCTGCTTGGCCTGCTGTGTTCATCCAGCTCTACACCTTGTTATCTCAGATTCTCCAGCATCTGCAGTTCCTACTGTCTCTGTAATCTGTAATTACAGGGTTACAATGAAACAATCATAAAAACCTGATGATGTAAAAATATGAAGCGGCGTTATTGATGTTCTGGGTTGTGAGACTCAGGGTGAATGCTTTCTGACTAATTCCAGTCTAACATGACAGAAAAGTGATTTTTCTGAAAGGAAATTAGGTGTCTGCAAGCCAACAAATTTCATTTGTTTTACCATTAAAAATAGCCCTATCCCAGCTGCCGCACAGATTCACTTGAGGTAGCAGGACATTGCTAAATAGTTGGGGTAGAGTTGCTCGGGCAGTGATCAACATTGACTCCTGACTGCATGAAGTATCTTGATTTGAGGAAGTAAATGGGTGATGCAGAGCCCTTCTTATTGTCTGATGCGGCCATGCCAAATTATGTGGACTGATAATTCAATCTTTTTTTCCAATTTGAGCATCAGGTGGAATAGGCAGAGAATATAGTGTTGGCAGTGTCTGCACTCATGGTAGAGACTTCAATGCACATCACAATACAAGCAATGAAGGACGAATAACTACCGAGTTTGAAAAAAAAAAGCCCATACATTCTTTGATTGTATTCGTACATGTGATGTCGGCATTGCTGTCCACAGTAGCATTCTTTGCCCGTTGCTAATTATCCATGGGGATGTGGTGAAGAGTAGTTTTCTTCCACCATTATTGACCTTACAAAGCAGATACACACAGTATTGCTAGGACGGGAGCTGTGAAGAGGTGGCAATATCGTTAAGCAGACAGAACAAGTTGCAGTTGGTTGTGCTGTCACTCATTTGCTGCCACGTCCTTCTCGGTGGTATAGGTCGTGGGCTCAGAATCTGCTGGGTAAGTAGTCTGGCTGAGTTTCTACATAGAACTCGTCGACAGCCAGCAACGGTTCCACTGCATTACTAGTAAAGGAGTGAATATTGCATGTAACAAATGGGATGCCAAACAAGTGCATTCTTGCGTGCTGAATGATGCCAAGTTTATCAAGCGCGATTGAAGCTTCACTCATCCAGACAAGTGGTAGTATCCCATCACACTTCCGTCTTGTGCCTTGTAGATGGTCAGCAGGCGTTTGGAGACAGCAGGTAAATTACTTGACGCAAAATTCCTGGTCTCTGACCAGGTATGGTAACTCTAGTTCAGTTTTTTTCTTTCAAAGACAGCCCGTAGTATGTTGATGATGTGGGATTCATCAATGACAATAACATTGAGTGTCAAGATAAATATTTAAAGTCACTCTTCTTGGAGATAGAATATATTTGGCGCAATTGCATTGTGAAACATACTTTCCATTGTCAATGGAAGTCAGAATATTTTCTCTGGGAAGAAGGTCGCTGCAGAAGCGCCAAGAGGAGAGGAGCACCAGCATTGTGAGGATCTCTGTCGCAGCTGACCTAATGCCAATTGTCTGGTAGTTTAAACTGATAATGGGCAATTATCTGAATTCTGGAAGCCTCTGAAAGTATGCATTCCTCTATTTAGAATCAGTGACTTTGGTTAACTATGGTTAACTGCGATACATTTACCCAGGAATGATTCAAGAAATTAACAAGTGCGCTTTAACTATCAAATTGACACCCAGTTACCGCAAAAAGTATAATTTCTCAGTCTGACTGCCACTCCTTCCCACTCTGTCCTGAACATCCACTGACATTGATAACCCCCACCCTGTCACACATCCACTCACTCCAGAATGCACGAACTCCTTCACACGACAATACCACACATTCCAAGACAATCGATTTTCCAGCTAGACATATACTCTCGATTCCTTACAATCAATTCCCCTCCTGCCACTCTGTACATGGTCCATTTATATCTGGCCCTAACAGGATCTGCCACCACAGTTTTCATCATGGTGAGGACCCAACTCCCCAGATATGATCTCAAGGCCTCGATCATTTAACTCTCATCTTAGCCAATCAACCTGTCAACATTGCATTCCATCTCCCTTTTCATCCGTTGTTTACCGCCTGCGACTTTGTCAAACTGCGAGCTTTGCATTGTGACATCATGTCCACCTGCTACTTCACTACTGTGACCATATACCGCCGAAACAGCCCGCATTCTGCTGATCTGTCAACTAACCAGACTGGTACTTGACACACCTACTAGATTTCCACTCAAACTACACATCACCTACCAAGCACATTCAGCCAAATTAGTTCCTAGTAACCATAATCATTTGCCTAGATTCTAAACTGCCAAGCTATGTGCATGCCAGCTCATCCAGCAGCCACACAACACGTCAAAGCCTACCAGCTCACACTCTATCCCCTTACTGGCTCACCACCTTCGAACTTCGAGACTGTTCCATCATAGGGTCACAGAGTTATAGAGTCATACAGTATAGAAACCGATGCTTCAGTCCAAATCACCCAGGCCGAGCAGGATTCACAAATTAAAGCAATTCCATTTGCCTGCATTTGGCGCATGTGCCTCTAAAGCTGTTCATCCACTTGTTGAAATGTCTTTTCAATGCTGTAACTGTACCTGCACTTACCACTTCCTCTGCCAGGTTATGCCATATACCACCACCCTCTGTGTGAAAAAGTTTCCCACAGGTCCCTTTTAAATCTTTCTCTCTCAACTTAAAACTATGGCCTCTAGTTTTGATCTCCTCTGCAATAGGAGAAAAGGAAAACCTTTACTATTCCCTTTATCTATTCCCCTCATCATTATATTAATCCCTATAAACTCACGAATTAATCTTCTCAGATCAAGGGATTAAAAGAAACATCCAGAGTAAACAACAGCTTCTCATCACTCAAGACCACCAGTCTCAGTAACATCGTGCAAATCTTTTCTGCATTCTTTCTTACTTGCCAAGATTATTCGTGCAGCAGAGCGACAAGAACTAAACGCAGTCCTCCAAAAATGGCCTCACTCATGTCGGATACTGTCGCAATTTGACCTGCCAACACTTGTATTCAACGCTCTGACGAACGAACCCAAGCGTGTCAAACGCCTTCATCACCACTCTATCGGTGACACCACTTTCAAGGAACTATTTATCTGAACCCCTAGGTCCCTCTGTTCGACAACTCTCCCCAGTGCCCGACCATTAACAGTGTAATTCATGCCCTGGTTTGTCTCATCAAAGTACAACACCACGAATTCATATAAGTTAAGATGTATCTGTCGCTCCTCAGCCTATTGATGTTGTTTCAAGATCCCGTTGAATTTTTAGAAAATATCATTCACTGTCCACTTTACGACTAATTTTGCTGTCATCACAAACTTGTTAAGTATTCAATGTTTTCAAGGTTCATCATCGAATATCGTGCCCTGTTCGTGCGTGGGTGTCCCACAAAGCGGTCCACAAAGGCAAACTCCCAAGGCAGATGTGTAATTGCTAACAACCGATTTCAAAACTCCTGCAGTCTGTCTTTCATTTCTGAAGTGTTCATTCTGATTTTAGCGATCTGTTCAGGGCATTCATTTCTGAGGCGCTAGTCAAATATTATATTACCGGCAGATAAAAGTATTTTTGAAGCACCAGATGAAATTGAACTGCTTGAAATACAGGAGACCGAACCAGACGATTTACAACGGCCAAGATCACTTGACAAGACAGTGAGTAACAACACAGACACATACTGTACAGCTGTCTTGAACCACGTCGGTAAGTCTGCTCAATCCGTCACGTCAAATGTTGCAGATTCACTCTAATTCAACTTTCATAAAAGAAACTAATCAGAAGTAAACATTAATGCGAATGAGAATGCTTTCAAAATTATCAGAGATTACTTAATGCTTTAATAAACTTCATAAGTCGTTATAATAAACCAATTATTGAGGTGGGACATTTCGCCAATTTAAGCAACGCTCAAGAAGAAGTGGATAATTCTCGAAATTAATTTTACATATTCTTAAAACAGTTCTGTATATTTGGAGATTTTGCACGCGCTGTACAAAACCGATATTTCATTCAATTGTGGAAAAGCATTCCTGTTGAATAAATTAAGATAAATATTTACTGTCAGGTTCGCTTCGCAATGGCAAGTTAATTTTCTTATGAGATGCTTTGCAGTGAAGGATAAGTTTGTGAATGCCTGAATTGAAAACATGTTTCTGCCGGGAGTTGTCCACTTTACCTGATGTCTAAAGAAATGATCATCACACTTAACTAATTTGAACGATATCCTTCAGGTGGCTACGTTGCAACAAAATGATCATCACATTTAACTAATGTGAATAATACCGTTCAAGTGGCGAAGTTGCATCAATCGGTCAAGTATATTATTTAAAGTAAATTTTACTCAATTTCATTGTTTGAAATAAACAATGTGTTCTACTACTCTCTAGCTTTTGTTTCTGAAAAAATCTAAACCCTGCATACGTCTGAACGCATTGATATATAATGCATTCTCTGCATTCGCAGCCAGTATTCACAGGATGAGCTCATGCTTGGATAATTTTAATTAATTCAAACTCTAGCCTCGGTCACATAATCGCCGACTTCAGTTGTTTCCTAACGAGTCACTCTTGAGTTGATATGTTGTTGTAAAATGTAACTCTCTATATTTAAACCACCTGGATTGGGAAAACATAAAGCTAAGTGTAGATTAATTCACTCAGTTAAAGTTTGATTTTTATTCCCGCAAATCAAGTTTAATCACGAATGTATCAATTAATTCATTAAAGTTATTTGTGAAACTGATCAAATCAGTGTAATAGATCTGATCTTCATCGAAATATTTCGGGCAGAATTGCTAAATAGTCTTTGTCAATTACGTTCCCCAGCCAGAAAACTGGTTTGTAATATATGGCGGAATGGAATAATATCACCATAATGGCATTTTTGCTCAATATGAAGAGCGATTAGAGCATTACATTATTGAAATTCTAATTATATTTCTCAGTGACTTGTAAACTGTAGAAAAACAGATCTTATGATCGAAATAGTTGATTGTAAGGCATGGATTAGGTTAATATGCAACTATTACTTATAAGTTAAAATCGCACCCCAAGTCTCTGTTTTCCCTTAATGTCCAAAACCTTTGTTATCTGCCTTTCGCCTAATATTTGGCTTTAGGAAATTTCAACTCGCATGTTGTTTGCATTCAATGAGGAAACTGGAGCGGTGCACTGTCACCAACCATGTAAACAATGCAAAAACGATATAAAAACCAGAAAACGCTTCACAAATATTACGACTTTAATCCTCCCCAAGCATATTCTCTTCTCAATAGAACAATAGTCACCAAATCACAACATTGAGGGACAGCGATGTGTTTGCTGTTGAACTGGCACTGCAAACATTTTCGATGGAATCAAAATGTAACATCACAAAAAAAATCTCAAATTTGAATCCAACAAAACTGCTTACCATCAAACAAGCTAACGATTAAGTTATACAGAAATAAGAAGTCATAGCAGCAGCCTTGATTGTAAGCTGACTTATTTAACAAACACATAAAGCTTAGCACGTTTTTAGCAGCAACTCAATTTACTTCCAACCTGTGCATCTTTCCTGTTCATGTCAATTATGTGCACTGTGCAGTAAGCAGTTAGAGGCATATATTGATTCATCACTTTAAGGTCAAAACAAAAATAGTTCAATCAACACATATTACCGCATTATTATTGTACGTTATAATAAGTTTAGTCTCAGTTATCAAATCTGATCAATTAGGCATTTTGTGATTTTAGTCCGAAATTGTATTTTGAATGAATCTATTAAGAAGAGACTTTACTTATTTTAAAAGTAGAATTAAATTCTCTTTTTTTAAAATAATGCGCTAAAATGTCGTATTTTTTATTCCTCAAACCTTCAGTGTTTCTGCATTAAGTCGGTTGTCAGGTAGTTGCAACTGGACATAATGTTTTCAATCAATCAGAAAACTGAATGTCGCCGAATGAGTTCGACAAATGCAGAAAGGAGACGGAAAAAGCAAAGAACTTCACAAATATTAGTAAGTCAAAGTAATTCAGATGGACAATCTCCTCAACAAGGAAAAAAAAGAAAACACCAATTACAGAAAGCATGAAAACTGTTGAAACCCCAGCTCGAATTCATAAATTAAATGAAAATCCAAACAACTCAGTTCAATAGTCGAGTAAAACAAAATCAGAATCCAATCAACTCAAAACAATAGATTCAAATGAAAGACAAATCGAATCCAATCAACTCAATTCAGCGAAATCCAATAAAACAAATTCAGAATCCAAACAACTCAATTCAACAGAATCAAGTAAAACAAACTGAGAATCCAATCAGTTTGAATCAATCGATTGAAATGATTGAGAATCATTTCACTTGATTAAACCAATCAACTCAAATCAACAGAATGAACTGCAACACCACAAGAAAATTTCAAGACAGAATCTAATATGCCTGTCGTCAACAAAATTAACAAACTAAACCACAAAATACAAACACGATACGAACATAATGTGTAGGTAGAATATATTCAAGAAATTAATAACGATATTTTAGCATATTTTGTCAATGTTTGGTAATATTTTGACTCTTCAAATTCTTATCATTTGTTGTCCATACTAAAACTCGCAGATACTGGGTGTCACTCCTATTAATCATTGCTTGAACATCATAGTGTTTAAGAGACTTTATTTGTTTCAAGTAGCCCAGCCACTCAGTTTGCCCGTCTGATAAAAATGAAAGAAACATAGAGTAACTGAGTCCCTCACCAGCACGTTAATTATTTGCTGAGACTGAAATGAAGTTTATAATAATTTTCCAGAAAAGTCAATTGGAACCAAACTAAACTCAGTACAGAATCCGAGTTTCATTTAACTCATGAATTACTCAAATCAATAGACTGTTAAAACAAATATAACGGTTGCTAAGAACGCTCAAGGTTCTTACCGGAAGTCACGGTCACCATGGTCCCTTGTCCCCAGTAATCGAAATAGTCACAATGTTACATTCCCTGGACGGTGTCACACAATAACTAGCTCTGCACGAAACAAGCAAAAACTGTCATTATTTTAAATATTCATAAGCACAGGAAAAAATAAAATCACGATAAATCTTCATCACATTATAATTGTGCAAGTGGATTCTGTTCATTCTTGACAAATGATTCTATATTTTACACTTCACAGAATAACACATGAATTGATTGTCAATATCACCTGCTGGTAATCAATAATTAATCGCGCTTTTACAAATTAAACCATGACATTCGGATAATACCCCACAGAACTAATAATCCACTGCACGTTTAGATGGTTAGTAAAAGTAAACACTGACACTGTTTCTAATAATTAGAGTTGACAAATTTTTTGCATTGGTCATATTTGCAGTGCTATCCCAGTATGTCACTATGAGACACGTGACATCAAATACTACAGCAGATGGTAAACTGTAAAATTCAGACAGCGAATTTCATTGCTTCCTTAAAAAAAAAACAATGATTTTGAATTCTCTAATAACGATTCAGTGCTAGAATTTTGCTCTTACTCCCGGTTGTATTTTTAAAGGTGCTTGGAATATATTTTAAAGTTTGATGTACATTTAACTTGGACATCAACACGAAGAAAGTAGAAGAATTTTATGCATTTGTCCAAACGAACACTAATGGACTGGCCTTTTAATCAAGTCTCACATCAATTGTCGCTCCTGCTATGGTCCGAATCGTCAATTTGAATTAAATACTTACCAGTAGTTTTTGAATGAGGATGTCGGTATGCACATCACTGTGACCAACTGTAGTATCACAGTGATGTAAACCCGCACAGAAGCTGCGCTCATTCTCTGTTCTATGTTCTGTCTCAATTTTGATGTGAAATAGAGATTTAGTCCTGATCATTGCGGAATTAATGCCATAGTTTACATAACACAATTGGCAGAGATTTACTGAGGTGTCAGATATATTAAAATTAACATTATGTCCAAGTCTTTAATTGATGGAACGATAAGCAGTACATACGACATGCCCAAAACATTACCCTATTTTATTGGCTGATTTATTTGTTTTAACGGTTCAGTTATTCTGTGATAGTTTTGTAAGAAGAAGTTTGAGGTCTACTTAACATTATATTTGTGAATATCACGTTGAAAACAAATACTAACTGTCAGTTTTCGGTGCAAAGTACAAAGTGTCTCCTTGAGCCGTTTTTGTAGGTGCCCAGCCGTTGTTTCTCGGTCTGTGGTCTCCTGCACAGTAATAGATGGCGGTGTCTTCGATCTTCAGACTCTTCATTTCCAACGCGAAGATGTTGTTTGAAGTGTCTTTGGATGCAGTAAATCGATCTTTAATTTCTGGCGCATAGTCATTACTCGATGAATCATAGTAGCTAACCAACCACTCCAGACCCTGTCCGGGAACCTGTCGGACCCAACCCATGTAGTCGCTGTCAAGATCGAACCCGCTGGTTTTACAGGTCAGTCTCAGGGAGCCTCCGGGATGGCCGTTCGCTGCCTCTGGTTGAATCAAAGTAACCTCCGACTGGACACCTTCAGAAATAAAGCAAAAAAATGACCATTTTTACTGATTATCTGATTCCTAAATATTTTGCATTCCAGAGGTAGACTAACACTGGGACAATAACAAATAGAAACTTGAAGAATAAAGACTCACAGGATAAGAAAGTCAGTAACAAACTGAGAAAAATTGTCATCGTAGTCATTCTGGTAACTTGGGAAAGAAGGTTCTGCCAAGACCTTTCTAAACAAACCCCAGATCGAGGAGTGTTGAATTACGGTCCAATGACCAGAATTTATGTGTCCATCAGAGGGGGCAGGTTTACAGGTTCCGCCTATTGGATTCGGGCTGGAGGCTGTGACTGGATCCTCGTACCACCTCCCACAGCCCTCACAGATGGGCTAATATATTTACGCGAGGTTACGGTTTAACATGGAAATTTTTCCGTCCTGGGATATTTGTTCTGCTGTCTATATTGATTGGACGTATTCCCATAATATTAGTGGTGCAAGTGCAATTAAACAGCGTGAGATCTGGTTCAGATGACATTTTTCATTATTTTACTGAAGACAGTAAAATTTTCAATTGGAAATTAACTCCCTTTATTTCTTCAAATTCATTGTCAAGCAGATAAAACTATAAAAAGTTCAATAATATTATCAGCCAATAAAATTGCTGTATCTTTTTCTAGACACTCCAAGTGTTTGTCACGTAAAAAAATAACACATAATTCATCATAGGCGTTTCTACATTCAATTTCGGCAACTTAATACGGAGCATGTCCAAAATGATTATGTTCAGAATATAGGTTTATGTGACGAAACAGTTTGAACTCAGATATGAGTAAAAGACGAGTAAACGTCTCTTTTTTTTTTTGGCCGAACATAATCATTTGAAAATGCACAGTAAAGGAAAACTGCATGACTATTAAATAAACAGCCAGTTGACAGTGAAACATAACATTCTGATAAACTTTTGAAAGAGAATTTAATTAATCAAAACAGGCCGGTCGATAAGTTAAAAAAAAACGCCCCAGCATCCAAATAATTGTAGGTAACTGTGTAGGTACATCAGAAGTGTATGGTCTGTTAGAGCGTATTGCAATGATTGCCACTGCTGCAGGTCATAAACAGGTCATTTCTTTGCTCATTGGTAGCTATGACAGGTACTGTTAAATCACAGGCATCAGCAGAAATTAAGCATTACACGACACCAGCGCTAGCCGTTTATAACGTGCTCACTCAGTTTAAATGATCAGAGAATGGTGCAACAAGCTATGCGAGTTCGAACAAATTAAATTTTGTAAATTTACTTTGAGAAGACAACGAATGTCACTACAATCTGAGTTTGGATTCGTAGACTTCACATTCTAGAGCTTTAAAATAGTTAATAAGCTGTTAAATAGTTAATAAACAGCGAACTAGAATGACTTTTATTTCGAAGTAATAGCAACTACTGATACACAGTAAATTTCCAGCTTTCTCAAAGTCACTCAATGAAAGCTGTAATCAGTGACCTTTTTCAAAGAAGACATGCCAAGTGACATATATCCTTTGTGTGCAATTTGGAAAAAAGAAAACATATATAGTGAGTTTGGTGAAGTTTCATTTTAATCGATTCATATGCCTTTAATCTGTCAGGCGCAATGTCTGGCACCAATCAAGCCGACTGTAGAAAAGATCCTGGAGTTCAAAGTGTCATTTATTGGAAGCATCCACAGTTTCAGCAGTAAATCAAATATATTTTTCCTCACTGTTGACCGCTTGGCGGAAAACCAGCTCCAAAACACATCCATCACCTCTGCATAAACAGATATACTTAGCAACAATGCTGGAGAAAAGTTTATTTTTCTGTTGTGTAACTTTCTCGTGAAAGGAAGCATTTGTAGAGTTTCAGACACTATGGAAATATGAATTCACTGGAGAATCGCTACAGCACATTAGGATTTTGAGATAGATAGGTATTAGGTAGTTAGTTAGATAGATAGATAGATAGATAGATAATATTCAGATAGTCAAAGAGCACAGGAACAGACCCTTCAGTCTAACGAATCCATGCCGAACATAATCCCAAACTGAACTAGATCCACCTGCGTGCGCTTGGCCCATACCCTTCAAAATATTTCTGATTTATGTGTTTATGCAAATAATTTTTCAAAGTTGCATTTCTAAATTTCTGCAACATTTCCTCTGGAAGTTCATTGCACACACGAAGCACTTTCTGCATGGAAAATAAATTGCCTCGTGTTTTTTTTTAATCTTTCTCCTCTCACCTTAAAAATAAACCCCAAGTCTTGAAATCACCCGTCCTAGGGGAAAGACAACTGCCATTGAAGATATCTATATGCCTCATGATTTTATGAGCATCTTTACAGTCAACCCTTAACCTCCAATGCTCTAGTGGAAAAAAATCCCAGTTTATCCAGCCTCTCCTTATAACTCATGCCCTCCATTCCGAGCCAAATCCTGGGAAATATTTTATCAACCCTCTCCAACTAAATAATATTATTCCTGTAACAAGGAGACCAGAACTGGACACATTAGCCCAGAAGAGGCCTCGACCACGTCCTGTACAACCTCCACATGACTTCCTATACTCAAACAACTGATCAATGAAGGCAAGCCTGCGAAACGCCTTCTCAACCATCCTATGATGCCAACGTCAAAGTATTATGACCATGCTGTCTGTCTGTTCTATTGAACTCCATATGCACTCCTCAGCCCATTGATCTAATTGACCAAGACCACTTTGTAATCTTAAATAACGTTCTTCATTGCCCATTATACTGGCAATTTTGATATCAAAGATCAACATATTAACCACGTCTTCTAGTTTCTCATCGAAATCTTTCACATAAATGTAAAACAAAAGTCCACTCAGCACTGATGCCTGTGGAATATCAATGGTAACAAGCCACCAGTTCAAAAAAAGAATCGTCCACCACTGCTCTCTTGTTTCTTGCCGTTCAACCAGTTGTGCATCCAATTGGCAAGTTCACCCTGTTTGACATGTGATCTAGATAGAAAAACAGAATTAGAAAGGGACAAACAAATTGAGTGGATGCATGAACGGATAGATCGAATGATTTATGGATGCCAGAAAAGGAAATGGTCTTCAAAATTCTAAATTTTGTTTGCCGGCTTCACTACTTGAGGCAGGTCAATTATTAAAAATGTGTCAGTCTGTTACCTTCTGTTCTTCCCCAGTCCCATTAAAATTAAAATACCGCACATATCCGGACGTGACAAATTGGAGTTCATCCATAGTAACTTAAATATACCCCAGTAGTACTCATGATTTTTCACTGCTGATTGTAAATCTCCATCTCAAAGATTAAAAAAAAGGGGATTTGCCTTGATTCAGAAGGAATCATATCAATATTTCGAACATGTGGTTCCATTTTATAGAAAAGAACACTCAACATACCTTCAGCCACTTCACTTCTCACAGCAAAAATAGTGCACGTCATGAGAACAATGCCTATTATACTTGTACTATGTTACTGTGACATGAGAGTAATCAAATTGCCCCTTTTCATACATTTTCTCCTCTGTTTTGAGATTTGTTGAGCATAGCGCGACTGGTAATTTAATGGGGAATGCTTCAACAATGCATCAACACGAAAATATTGAGGAATAACCTGTTAGGCAGATTTCTGTTTTATTTTAATTGAAAACAGAACATCCTTTTTGAATGTTTCAAGGTAATGAAAAATAAACAATTTTTATTGATCAGTAATTTCTGAAGTTATTTTTTTAGGTAACAGCTGCAAAACTACTCGATACCAATTGCTACTCGTCGGCTTTCTCCTATATCCCGAGATTGTAAAATCAATTTGTTAGCAGTTTAAATTTGTCTTCAACAAGCAACTGTTAGCTGTAACTTTTTCGGCATCAATGAACAGAACGAGGGAAATACGAGCAAAGACAAAATTCCAGTCCATCATTATTTCACAGTCCACCATATGATAAAGTAGTTGACGCTTCTCCAATTTTTCACCATTCCTACGTATCAATAAGAAATTAGCATTTCCTTAATCATGCGCTATTTCAGTCCATTCAGAGTTCTATAGCCCTCCATTTTCTAAAACAATTGGTTTCTTGTAACTGATTGGTGTCTCCCGCTCGATTAATGATTGCTAACATTGTCCTCACTTCAAATTGGTTGGTGCATCACAATCATTTTTTGACCTCCAGTCAGTAGTCTGATAAAAATGCATTCTTTAGTTAAACAAGATAAACCAGTTTGTCGATAATTCTTTTGAATTACTGCACAGTTCTAGTTGGGACCTATTATATGTTTTGATTTTTATCACGGAATTCCCAGAATAAAAGAACTAATGTGGAGTTGACTTCAAGGCCATGTTCAGAGTCGGTGCCTGTAGAAACATAGAAGATTGGAGCAGGCGAAGGCGATTCTGTCCTTTAAGCTTGCTCCAATCTTCATAATGATCATGATTGATCAACCAACTCAACAGCCTAATCGTGCTTTCTCCCCATATCCTTTGATCCCAGTCGCTACAAGGGCGAAATATAGCCACCTCTTGAATACATTCAATGTTTTGGAATCAACTACTTCCTGTTATAATGAATTCCAAAGGATCACCACCCTCGGGTGCAGAAATGTCTTCTCATCTCCTTCCTATATTCTCTACCCGAATCATAAGACTGTGTCC